GTGTGTGTGTGTGTGTGTGTGTGTGTGTGTGTCAGTGTGCGCGTGTCTGGCTCAGTGCGCGTGTGTGTCCTGCAGCGCTACATGGACAGCTAATTGTATTTTAATTATAAAAGCATCAACTCAGACAGGTTCCTCCTCCTCCTCCTCCTCCTCCTCCTCCTCCACAAAGACGAAGTCAATGAAGCGTCAAAGTTTGTTTTCAGCCTGCTGCCTTTATGCAAACAAACTCGCCGCCTTCACATGACATTTCAACTCCAAATTAACTCCGCCGCGCCAACGAGAACGCGGCGGGAAAGACGTCGCGTGACCGTGTTGCATTTCGGCACGTTGAAGTCGACTCATGCGCGTGATTGATAGCCGGGCAGACAAAATGGCTCCCCTTCAGGCATCTGCATGGACACCTGCTGGCTCGAGGTGGCACCAAATATTTTTAGGGACTCCACATCTAGACAGCGATTGTCACTTGATTTGTGACATGGTGTGGTTTGTTGTTTGGTGAGTTTTGAGTTTCTGGCTATTTTAATGCTTTTGTCACATAATTGATTTTTTGGGCATGTTTTTGGTCATTGTGTCAACATAGGAGGGCATAGTGCCAAACTATTTGCCAATCGAGAACGTCTTGGTCCCGGTCTCTGAATAGAAAGGACTCAGTGTTGTTCTTGAATGGTCATCTTTCTCGGGAAAAAAATGAATAAATATACATTTTGGGGGGTGTTGTATTATGATAGGCAGACATGTTGCGAAAATCATTGCACATCTCGAATCTTTAATTTGACATCTGACAGTGATGGGGTTTTTTTGGGTGGTGTTTTGTCTTTTTTTTTTGTCGATCTTTTATCTTGTTATTGAAAATGGACACTTTGTTTTGTGATATTTTTTGATCATGCGTCATCATTTCACTTCATATTTCCAAAGTTATTGCAAATCTTGAATGCCTTTGACGGGAGCTTTAATTTCATGTACGATGAGATGCAGTTTACACTTCGTCGATTTCTATGTTGTTATTGGATCGTAGCACTTTTTGTCATGTGAAGTTTTTGGTCGTTGATTCATTCGGAGGACTTATTTCCAAAATTATTGCAATCGTAGAATGCCTTCGTCACGGGCTTTAATTTTATTTCTGACAACTTGATGCGTTTTAAGATCATCTTTTACCATTTTACCGAATGACTTTATTGAGTGACTGGTGATGTTGTCAAGCAAAAAAAAAAAAAAGTTCTTTGGTCATTTTAATATCATACAAGGTCCTATTGCCAAACTTGTCATAGATAGTGAAAGCCTTCATCGCTTGATATCCGACTTGAATTTTTTTTTTTTTTTTTTTTGTAGTTTGTTGATTTCTACCTTCTGTCACTGAATACTGGCACTTTGTAGACAGGATTTTTATTTATTTATTTATTTTTTGGGGTCGTTGCCTCATTATTCGAGGATTTATTGACGAAATAACTGCACACCCTGAAAGCCATCGATGCGGCCTTGGATATGATATGCGACTTGCCATAGTTCATCTTTTTTTTTTTTTTCATCGTTAATGACATCGTTAATAATGTAACATTGTAACTTCTGTTTCCCAGCTGCCGCAGCGCCGGGTGACCTTCTCCACTGCCAACCAGGCGCAGGACCTGCAGGATGCTTCCCAGCACAGCTACTACGACAGCGGGCTGGACGAGTCGGAGACTCCCAGTTCCAAGTCGTCGTCCGGGCCTCGGATCGGCCCGCTGGCGCTGCCTGAGGACCACTACGAGCGCACCACGCCCGACGGCAGCATCGGCGAAATGGAGCACCCCGAGAACGGTGAGTTTCCTCCTCGCCGCCTGATTTTGACCAAGTTTATGATAGTAGATGGCGGGAATCCCGTGGTCTAATCGGATTTCCGCCATTCCCCGTGCAACGCAATCAATATGCAACATAATCAAGTCCCACGGCTCAGCGCATTAACATCACAATTATGCAAATGACGAACGGCCCAACCTTCCATCAGCTCCACTTAAGGATCCACAGGGGGAGGATTGTCGGGGAAACTGGAATTGGGTTGGCGCTCGTTAACGTTTTTGTCAGCCCGACGGCGACGTGTCGGCTTGCTTTGGCGTGCGCGCCCGGTTTAAAGTGCCGGCTTGGAACGCTAACAAGCTAAAGTCATACATGTTTTTTCATCCTTGCGTCAACATCGAAGGGCATATTGTCCAAAATAATTGCAGGTTAAAATGCCTTTGTCACAGTCTGTAATTTGATGCGACTCAAAAGGGTTTGTTGGTTGTGCATTTATGTAAATATGTCTGGAAATGGTGTGATTGGTGACGTTTTCAAGCAAATGATACGTATTTTGTGGTCATCGTGTCATCACAGGATATATTGTCATGCATGTTGTTTTCAATGCAGCTGTAGAAAGCCTTCGGCACGCGCCTTAATTTGATATGTGACTCAATTTTGTTGGTTATCATTTTTTTTACCTTGTTACTGAATATCTATTGTTTGAGTCGTAACATTTTTCAGCAATACAAACTTAAAAAAAAATCATTTTCTGAACTAGAATGCCTTTGTTGCATTCTTGAATTTGATATGTGACTCCGTGTGGGTTGCTGGTTGCACATTTTTATTTTGATCATTTCATCATCATACGAGGGCATGTTGTAAAAAGAATTGCAGATCGACAAAACAATAGTTGCAGACATTTTTTTGGGGACACTCGACTCAATCTGGATGATTACTGAAGCGCTACTGCATAATTGGCCACATGTTTAAGCAACTTTGTTTATTGATGAGTGTACAAGGGCGTGTTGCAAATTTAATTGCAGACCTTTGTTGCGGCCTTTTAATTTTAATGTGTGACTTGATGTGCTCTATTGGAGTTTTTTTTTTGACCTCGCTACTAAATCTTTTTATTGTGTAATGGGTAACACTGCGGCAAAAAGCATCAACGTACGATTCAAATTTTTTAAATGACTTCTCATCCTGGAATTAAGAGCAACTAACCGGAATTAGCCTTGCAAAGCGCTCAAGTCCTGGAGGGTTCACTCGTCCATCCAACCATCCATCATTAGGCTTAATTATGAATCGTATTGAAATATATATGATCATATTATATTTAATGAAACACTTTTTAAGAGCACGTTCTGCCTTCAAACGTCACCACCTTGTCGGGGTCAGAGTTCATTAAGCAAGTGAATGCACTGAAGTAGAAATACTGGTCGGAAGACACGTCTGCTAATTGAATTGGACTTTTTGGCATTGTGCTCGTGCATGTTTAAGCAGAAATAATCAAGGCAAATGGACCAAATGATAAATGTTGCCTCAGTGGACAATGAAATGCAATTTTAAGTGCGGAACACGGATGCAAATGAGCTCCTGATGTACGCGCGTTGCATTTATTGACCACACGCTTACACACACACAGACACACACAGACACACACACACACACACACACACACACACACACACACACACACACACGCACACACACACACTTGCACATCTCTCGGACTGGATATGCACTGCTATTTTGGTTAACAATTTAATTTTAATGGAACTTTTGTACTGCAGTTTGTACTGCAGGTGTCATTTCCAGTATGGTGAATAGAATGGGGACTAAATTGAGTTGAACTGTGGAAAGGACATCATTTTATGTCGTGCATATTAATTGGACGCTGGTGCGATTGGTCTCCATGCTAACGGCGACGATCTGGAAAGGAACACGCAAAAGGATGACAGATAACGGCATCGCTCCATCTTTTAGCTCGATAGCATGAAGAAGCACGCTCACATGTGATGGGAGAGGCCCATGGATGATAATCTGGATGCAATCCAAATTGCCGGCCCATATCACCGTAATCCGTCCATCAGAGAGGAAACACGTCCATCTGGCGAGGCGCTCCCCCCGACCCCCCCTCGCCAGCGTGTCGCTTGCTACGTACATGTTAGCTACATGCTTCGTGAACCACGAGGTGCAGATAACATCCTTGAAAGGAAAACTGCATTGACAAGTTCAAAGAGTTCCCGGGTGTCTTTCACAAAACCTCTCAGGCATTCTTGTCAAAATCCAGAAAGGAGAAACAAGACATTTAACATCCACTTGTCACACACTGCTTGAAATCTCTCAGTTTCTATACATGCTTGCTTGTGTGTTTTTGTGTGTGTGTGTGTGTGTGTGTGTGTGTGTGTGTGTGTGTGTGTGTGTGTGTGTGCGTGCGTGCGTGCGTGCATGCGTGCGTGCGTGCATGGGTAAAGTCTTAAGATATGGGAAAACAAAAGTGCGTGAAGGACTGCGTGTGATTGTGTGTTTGTTAGCTACGTGCATGTGTGTCTGAGGGAGAGTACGATAGTGAGTTTGAGAGAGGCGTGTGCGCAGTGTGTGTTATGACAAGGGAAAACAAACGCGTGTGAGAGAGAGTGCATGTGTGTGTGACAGTGTTTGTGTGTGCGAAATGGCGGTATTTTTGTGTGTGTGAGAGTGGGTATTCGTATGTGAGTGTGAGAGTTTACTTGTGAGATTTTGTCTCTGTACGTATTGTAGGAGTGTGCGTGGGTGTACATTTGTGAAGGTCTTTTGTGTGTGTCTGCGCATGTGTACGTCTGTGAGCTTTAATGTGCGGAGGACAGGAACAAAGTGAGGATGATGAAGATGAAGAGTGCAGATAGAAAATCTCACTCGGGCTGATGCGGACGGAAGATAAAAGTACACACACACACACACACACACACACACACACACACAGCATCAGCCCACCATTTTGTGCCTCCTGTCGCTGGCACAACTCTCAGCGGCCCTCATTGCAAACCCCCCCCCCCCAC